AGGTTGAGCGAGGGAAATCTGAGAAGGGGGCCAGGTAGGAACACTTTCTAGGAAAGAGAGGCACCGCCCAAGCCAAGGAAGCAGTGGTGCAGGGCAGCAGAGAGGTCTGGGAGAGGCCCGGCAGAGGCCAGGCAAGAGCCCACGCTGCCTGCTAAGAGAGATCCCCAGGAAGCCTGCCTTGCAGAGAAAAAGGGTCAGGGACTTCGGTGCCATGGGAAAAACCATCTTAGACTTTTACCTGCGATTACTCTATATGAGGCTATATAAGCATAGGATCTTGAAGTGAGCTTATCATCAAAAAGGAAGAGCCTACAATGCCCTGAGTTTCAGCAGGTGGGGGAAACAGCTCTGAGGGTGGCAGTTCTGGTTTTCACATTATTTGAGCAGAGCTGGGAAAGAGCCTGGGCCCTGGCACCTGGTAGGCCTGCATTCAAAACTCCAGCCCTTCACAGATTAAGCTGTGTGAATACCTGGAAAAGCTTTTGTTTTCTTTTTCTTTTTTTTTTTTTTTTTTTTTTTTTACTTTTCTGAGTCATTTCTTTTTATAAAGGGAAAGGTCTTTGGATAGTTAACACATGAAACATGTTAGTGGTACTCAGCAAATGGTAACCTGTGTCACTCTGTCCCCTCTGACTCCCATCAAGTCAGGTGCAGAACTACCCTCGTGCATCTCCAGGTCACTGACAGATATGTGTGAGTCTAGTCCTGTGAACCTGACTTCTGTGTAAATACCACATAGCTACCCTCCCTGCCCCCCCAAATTGGCTTAAGACAGATCTGTGGGAATGAAGTGAGTTGCAATAATGATAAATATACCCTTAAATATGGGGTAGAGTGAAACTAGGCACACCGTCCATGGGTCATCCTCAACATTTGAAGCATGGTGAGAGCTGATGGTACTCACACAGTTAGGCATCACTGCTGTCACAGGACAACAGATTTCCCTGTGTCCTAATTTTTTTTTTTATCAAGATAGGTTAAAGAATAACTCCACACATAACAACTGCCTACCAACAAGAAGTTCTGTATGCCAGGCATTATATTCACTTTTGCAGGCCTGCTTGTCAGAGTCAAACTGGAATGGATTTGGAGGTGAAAATACAGGGTTAGGAATGAGCCAAGGGTTTTGGTACATAGAAGGAAACGTTTAGGGATTATAAAGTAGTGACAAAGCCAATAATTTGGAGGTCCACCTGGGAGCCCATAGGTGCAATCTGGCCTGCAGACTAACTTTGTTTGGCATATACAGTGATTTTTTTTAACATTTGAGGCCATTGCCAACATTGAAATACCCAGGAATTCTATATTGAAGCAGTGTTTTTCAAACTTCTCTTGGAAACCTGAGGCACCACTGGCCCACAGCCCAGTCAGAGTGGCCCTCCACTTCCGTGTCATCCTGGCCTGCTCCTGACAGGCCCTGCCTTCTCCCCTGGGCTGCTCTAGGTGCCGGGCTCCTGGCAAGAATCAAGGGGTATGTCTAAGAGGGTAGAACAAATAAGTGTACACTTGGAATCAATTACTTTCTGATGATAAGATCTGGGACATTATGGTGAAAAGGTGTCCAGGCATCTTGGGATTTTTTTTTGATAGTCCTCTGTGTATACTAGGGAGTCTTACAATCACAAATATGTTTTTAAATTGCTTATATTTATATACAGATACTTATCCTTTGCTTTTGTTATTTTCTCTGTAAATAATCTTTTTAATCTTGATATAAACCCGCCGAGGTAGGTGTTGCTAGTGTCATCCTCCCATTTAACAGAGAAACTGTTACATTAATTAGGCACCTTGCTCAGGCCGTGATTGGTGGAGCAGAGCTTGGAAAGCAGTAGTTAGGTCTTTGTATTGAATGCCCTTCCTTCTCTCCTTCTGCCTCAGTGATTTCTAGGGTAGTATAAACATGAAGTTACATATTAACCCCTCTTGTCCTAAAAAACCTTGAAATTGAGCTTTTAGGATATACGCTTCCCCACCTGGTATGATGTAGGTACAAAGTTTAATGCTCTATTAACCTAGCTGGAAAATGTCTGCCCTATATGACATTGAGGCATCTCACAAATCCAGAATTGTAGCACAAAATTTTACACTTTATAGTGTCTTTTCAAAACTTTTTTAAAAAACTCTTTATTGGAATATAATATATACAGAAAAGATCATATGCATGTATGTCCAGCTCAGTGTATTTTCCACAAATTGAACCTGTTCGTATAGTCAACATCCAGATCAAGGAGGAGCACACTGTCAGCTCCCCAGTAGCTCCCCTTCAACCCTCTTACAGGCATTTTCCATCCCCCCCAGGGTGACCACTGTGCCAGTTTCTGATGGCAACCTCTAGTTTTTCAAGTATACGGTATGATGGCATTCTTAAGCCAGCTGAAACCTCACGAGGAACGTTTGGTTTCTTGGTCTTTCCCGTAAGAAATGTAAAACGTGTGGGCCCTGGGCCAGATCCAAGACTGCAGCTCCCCGTGTTGTGTCTGACCAATGAGACAACGGTCCTCTTGCGAGAGCCAGGCCTAATCACTTCTTCACTGTGGTCCCAACACAACATGCGTTTCCACTGACCATCCTAGACTGCTTTATGTCTTATGTGCTTCTGGTGACAAGAATGTATTTAAACTTTACCCTTTCTCTTTGTAAAATGATAGTGTTCTGCCAGTCTCTCCTAAATTGTTTCGGTTTGAAGGTAAGTACTGTATGTGATTTAAAGTAGTTGTCCAGATGTGAGTAGATTAATTTTCAATGTGCTTAAGTGCAACATGCTACACTTGATGTGATTTCTAGTGAAAATGTTTTCTAAGAGCTTTCTCAAATTGAGAAGATGGTATCATTCCAGCAGTTGTTCGTTGTTGCAGATTTTCATAAAGTTAATGAGTAAATTTATAGTTTATTATAAAAGAGATGAGTGTTTTGCTTATTTCTGAAATAGGGCAAAATGTCATGTTCCTTTGTATAATCTCATGATATTGTCCTATGGTTACATTAATATCTTAGTTAACTGGCATGACTGGAGTTGACCCAGGTGCTAAACTAGCAGAACTTTCCAAGTGAAGAGGACTTTGCTGGAACACAGCACACTGACCCTCCCTCTGGGAGACAGTCAGTCTGAAATTGTCCTCCTCAGGAACACTGTTCTTTTCTAGTTGGCCTTCATTTATGTACATTCATGAATACATCTGTCTATCAGCCATCAATCCTAAATCCAGTAATCCTGCTTCCCATTCCCCTCCAAAGTAGTCTTTGATCATTTTACATACTCATAATGTGCTTATGGCTAGGCATAATATACAATAGAAGTTGCTTAGGAAAAAAAAAAAAGAAAGCTTTAGAAATTCTTGGTAAATGGTAGCTACCTTGTAGTTAACCCTACCCAACCTAAATGTGCAGCACATCCTTTAATATAGCTCTCTACCCTGGCACCCTGTTTTCCTCTCCCGCTTTCCCCTCTCACATGCACTGACCTTTGCTTGACCTAAGTCAAGCCCTCCCAGAGCAACTTCTGAAACTCTTTTAAATCTCAAGCCTTCGGGGCGCCTGGGTGGCGCAGTCGGTTAAGCGTCCGACTTCAGCCAGGTCACGATCTCGCGGTCCGTGAGTTCGAGCCCCGCGTCGGGCTCTGGGCTGATGGCTCAGAGCCTGGAGCCTGTTTCCGATTCTGTGTCTCCCTCTCTCTCTGCCCCTCCCCCGTTCATGCTCTGTCTCTCTCTGTCCCAAAAATAAATAAACGTTGAAAAAAAAAAAAAAATTAAATCTCAAGCCTTCACTTCTGGATTGCTTGTCCTTAGTAGCAGTGCTGTTAGGCCACACCCTTTTTGCTACTGGCCTGAGGATGCCACTTACATCTGTTACTAAGGTGTGAAATCTAAACATATCCTCTCCCTAGCCTGAGTTCTCACATTTTGTATTTTTTCCAGAAAAGAGATGAGTTAATTACAAGCATTATTTTCAAACCACCCACAAAAGATTCCTTTGGGTGTCCAGCTTATCCTTGGCCAAATAGTGACTAGGAAGGTGACCATAAGAAGCTAGTTATAGTGTTGAAGGGATATAAAGGGTGTGTATCGTCTGAGGCAGGTATGGCCCATGTGAACTTTGTAAAAACATTCTTCATGGGAGTAAATGGCACAAGTTACTTACTGCCTCACCTATTTTAGGGGCCATTGTGCCTTTAGTGAAGTGCATAAATGAAAAGCATAGGGAAAAAGTCCAGTAAGGAGCCTGATCCCTTAATGACAAAAAATAAGCAGTATTCCACCCAAAATACGAAACTGCAAAAAAAAAAAAAAAATATCTCAGTATAGGGTAAAGTTACTCGGAACATAATGAATATTTTTCTGCCTATACTTAATATTACATGATTTACTATGTGTATCAAATCCATAGACAGGTTATCTTATAATTTGGATTCGTTGGACAGGAGCCAGATGGACTAAGTTCTGCCTCTGTTTGGGTTTTCCCTCTGCTTTAAATTACCAAGAGCAGAGCATTTAAACTGCCTATGTCCCTTTATCTTCTTCCTGGAATGTAAGTAATTATACTTAACTCTCTCTCATGAATATCGGTGAACTGTACTTCTGGAGTGATTTTAAATCTCCCTATGTTTTGGAAAATAAATATAATATATAGATGTGATCATGTTATAATGCTACAGTAGAAAGCTTTTTAACTTCTCTAAAGTTTAAAAGCATTCTTTTGAGACAGCTCAAAAAGCATATTTAATTTTTTTCCCCCGTTTAACCTTGTCATAGATGCAGATAGAATTTTGGAAATCCTGGCCATTGAAAATGTTGAAATAGAACGATGTGCATAAAAGCCCTGGTAATACAGTAACTTGACATGCGTCATAGATTATGTAGTGTTTTATTTCTTTGACTTCAGCATTTGAATCCATATTCTGTGTGTTCTTTGAGATAGTATAAATTATTTATGACAGCAATATCAAATCTCTTTTTTTAAAAAAGAAAATCTTAACTCCTCCCTGATTATCAATTTTGACACAGGATCATGAATTTTCGGAAGATGAAGAGCTAGAGGACGTGGATGAAATTGATGAGTACCTGAAAGGCGAGAAAAAAGTTGCTGCAGATGAAGCCAGTGACAACTCAGTTGAAAAGGTATTGACACCACTGAAAAGGTATGATGATATGTGCTTAAATCCTGGTATCCTGCCCAAGAGAAAGTATGTGGGTTCCATGGTCTCTGCAGAGGGCAGATCCCAACTTCCTTTGGGAGCAGAAATACTTCTCTGAATAACTTTGTTCATGTGCTGTAGGAAAAGCTTTGGGCAAATTTATGAATTAGGCACACTTTGTTTCTGATGCTTTCCACACTTCTTGGTGGCATTCGGATCCCCACTTGAGTGGAAATCAACTGATACAGGCCAGTATAGTACACTGTTGAGAAATTAACCGAAAAGTACAGCACTGGGTTCTTGAAAGGATAAAATTACAAAGTTAGGAGCCCTATACTGGTGGCAGAAATGGGATGTGTGTGTGCACACACATACTAAGTGTATCTTTACATGTATGTGTGTTAAGTGAAAGCTGTTCACAGCAGTGTTGGAGGCTGTGATCACTTCTGCACAGATGTGGCGTAGAAGCAAGGATTTATAGGAGGATAAGGAGGCGCTATCACTGAGGAAAAGAAAGTCAGCCTAAGAGTGGAGCTAGGAATCCCAGAATCATCTCTTTTTGGCAGTTTTGTCCACGAGTGACACTGCTAGGAGACAGTTGGTAGGTTTGAAATCATTCATTTGCTAACACTGCTCTGGATTAATTTCACAGGCATGGAATTCAGAAACCCAAACTGAACAACACTATATTGATTCAGTTTTGGTTTCAGTGTCTGTACCTCTTTTAAAACGTGTGTTGATTCATGTCCATGTATTTTTAATTTACAAAATGGGATTATGCTATAGAGGTCATTTTCTTTCTCAAGACTCGTTCCTCTCACTGAGAAAAAAAATGTTCTAGCAATTACTATTTTCTTTCAGAGGGAGGCACAGATTTATAAGGGATGTTTATGAGCTCCAGGTAGGGGGGTCCCTAAAACTCTTTAACATAGAACAAACTCCAGTCTAACAGTGTAAAATGTTGAGCTAATTCATACACCAACTAACGTTCCTAAATCTTCTTTGAGTAGCGTCCTGCCACTTTTTGTAATCATAGAACTTTAAGCTAGAAGGGACATTAGCAACCACTCGGCATCTAAGGCAGAAGTTCGGCAAAGTGAAGCAGTAGTCGCCTGTTTATGTTGTTAGCTGGAGGCGAACTTGAGAACCCTTGCCTAAAACCAGGATGACATTTTCTAGGCCATCACAATTATGGTTTTTTATTACATTGTTTCTTTATTGCTTATAGGACAAGAAAACCAACCAAGAGGAACGGGCTATTTGTGAATACAATGAGAATCCAAAAGGTGTGAACACATTTGACTTCAAAAGCATGCTTCCAAAAGGCTAGATACCTTAACACACACACACACATACATACACATGCATGTGTGCACATGTATGCCGTCACTGAGTCATTATAGCTTATACATACACCTGTATTCTATTTTATCCTTTTTACTGTCACCTGGCTCTCATAACAAGCTAAGAAATATGTGCCACAGGCTTATTTGTTCTCATGAATAACCACCACAACTTCTTCACATAAAATATTCGCATTACTCATGGCTACTCGTGTGTCAGTGTTAAGTGGTTTAGGACAGCCTTTTCACTGTCTTTTTTTCTTTTCGATCAGTAGTAGTAAGTTAGGCTTTTGTCCCACATCTCAATTTACATGCCTGATGGGCACTGCCAGACCCCATTGCTAGAGCCACGGCCGGTTATCCCCTCATGTACCCCCCAGAGCTCAGACTGAGTCGTTGATCTTATTGCAGACATTTAAGACAGGTCCTTCCCCAAGCCTGACTGTTGGTGTCAGAGAACAGTTGCCACAGAATAGAGGGGACTGTGGTTACCCTTGAGACCTACATTCTCTACACCGAAATCATCTGTTTTTGCTGTACAGCCCACCCCTATATCATGTTTCCACACCGCCACATCAAAGTCTGCTTTTTACTGTGTTCTCATTAAAAATAACCGTTCATAGCGGTGGATATCTGATCTGAACTTAGGCAGAAGGAGGCATAGTTCCCTTGATATTTGTTTTCCTTCTGACTTCTGCAGAAAGAGTAGTAAGTTTTAGAATATTTTAAGCAAAATGTTAAAATATTTATCATCTGTAAGTATTTTTAGCATGTAGTCTAAAGTGTGAAAAAGAAATTAAAAGTAAGATTTAAGTAGTTGATAATATCAAATTAAAAGAATGCATGTGCTTCATGAGTGTATTTAAAAGATCATTTTTTGGGGCACCTGGGTGGCTCAGTTGGTTAAGCGTCTGACTTC